GGGGTCAAGTTATCAAATCTTACTGGTGAATTAGAACCTAGAGTCAGACTCCAAGGAGACAAGAACAATGTCTATGCTGGTCTTTCCCTCTTTAATTAGTATTCATGAATCACTGGTATTTTTTTCTGTCTCTCTTTGCATTTATCTCAGTAGTTGTATCATTTGATTGGTAATGTGTTTGAATTGAGCTGCCTGATTTTTATTCAATCTGGCACCTCTTCATGGAGCACTAAATCTCCTCTCAATGGCCATACATTAAACTGTGGTGAGCCCCGAAGTCTCTGCCACCAACAAGATTTCAGCCTTTATTGCTTTGTGCAGCCCATCCATTCTTGGTTCAGAGCAGCCTAGCTATAGAGATCCCAGTTCAGATATGCACAGGTAATGACACCGATTACCTGGCAGCATGTGTAAGATAAACCTTTCTGTTCTCTTCTGTACCACCCTGGTGGAGTCTGATACATCTTCCCTTCAAGTAGCAAGTAGGATTTCATTCAACTGAGGGAAAATTGTCATCAAAGCTCATGTGTCTTGGTGGAGTAGTTTTTTTAACATCCAATCTTTTACTCCTTAAAATCTTTAGTCTTAAAATCAAGAGAACCAGCTGATGTACAAAAAAAAAAAAAATCATCTGTTTTGCAAACTTAAAAGTTGTTGGTCATTATATCTGCTTGATCTGGAAATAAGATACTACTTAGAAGCGTGCACGTGTGTGTGTGTGTGTGTGTGTGTGTGTGTGTGTACATACAAGCTCTGTAATTCTGATGGGTAAATACCCAATTCCAAAACATAAAAGGGAGAGCTTCTTAGTGCACAGCAGGAATCTGACCACATGCTAAACATAGCTTACAGGGACACAGAGCTTCACATGTTCTACTACCCACTACTTGTGACTCAGGAGTATCTTCTTTCAAGTAAATGGTGAGTCATGGGGATATGTAGAGGTGGGAGCTTCTTTCTTACACACAATTCCTCTTTGCTTCCAGGATTAGTCAGATTTCTAGAAAAGAAAAACCCTGGGGAACCAGCAAACCATCCTTTGAGACCAGAAAGAAGGAAAGACGTGGAGAGATGACAGTTTATGGGCCAGACGAGCCTGATAGCAGCCACGCGCAAGCCTCATCTTCCCCCAGATGGCACTTCATCTTGACAAAGACATTGGACAGGGTGTTCTATTTCCCTGCCTTGGAAAGGAAGAAAAAGTTATAGATTTCTTTGCCTCAAAGCAATCTTCTAGAGAAAGCAATTGTTCCCTCCACATCAGTATTTTATCAGAATCAAGACTTAATGGGAAAATAGAAGGAAATGAATCCTGTTCTCCCAATTGTCTAGCATGCATGTATACCCAGTCTTTCTTCTTCCCCTGATGACACTTCACTGGATCTTAAAATGTGGTTTTTCTACACTACATCAAAAACTAATGATGTAATGTATGGTGATTAACATAACAATAAAAAATTTAAAGAAAAAATGTGGTTTTTCTAAGAAGGAACTTTATGTTTTCAGAATGCTTTCTCAAAAACGGGACTTCCTCTAGTGTCAGTGTTCTTCTGACATGAAAATGATGCTGTCAATTTTTGTCATATATACATCATTCTAAGTGGCCTTTTTTTTTTTTAGAGAATTTATACTGACCTAGCTATCTTTCTTCCCTACCACATAGCACAAAATTTAAGACAGCAGGCTAGGTATTACACCCATAGAACAGATAGAACTAATAGTCCCACAGAGGAACTCCAGGGGCACCTGGGTGGCTCAGTTAGTTAAGCATCTGACTCTTGATTTGGCCTCAGGTCATGATGTCGGGGTCCTGCGACTGAGCCCGGTGTCCGGCACCATGTTCAGCAGGGAGTCCGCTTGGGGCTGTCATCCTCTCCCTCTCCCTCTGCAACCCCTCCCCCGCAAATAAATAAATAAATCTTAAAAAGGGGTGGGGAATACCACATCCAGCTCTATTAGACAACAAGGGACATTTTGTTTATTAGTCTGCTTAACGTCTTCAAAGCACTGTCTTCGTTTCCACAGGAAAAAGTAGTTAATCAAAGAATAACCACTTAAATTTGGGGTGATGATTTGTGTTCAGAAATCAATGTGTTTATACAGATACCTGGGGATTTTGAGTCAAACCCAGGGGTAAGCTGGTCTGTCTGATCCAAGTCTGACATTCAAAGACTCTTTGAAGAATACTAACAAAATCAAGCATGTTATTTTAGACATGCTTGCTAACTATTGCCATTTATAAGTAACAACTTGAAATTCTATTCTGGCTTACATATCTTTTTAAAAACTTGTTCTAAATTTATTTGTACTGTGTCAATTATGTGAATAAAATAAGAGCTGAGAACCTCTCCCTAAGAGAATGTTTTTGCTGGAAACCTTGTCCTGTTACCTTCTGAGCTTCTTGAAAATGAAAATCTCTGTGTCTTCCAGATGACAGCCACCTTTTTGGTGGAACCAAAATAGCTCTCTCAGCTAGAGTGCTGTCAGTAAGAGTTCTGACAGATATCAGATTTGGCATGCAGGAGGAAAGTGAGAAATGGTCCCATGGTAGGAGGTTGGGTGGGAGCACCTGACTAGCTAAGGGAGCAAGGCAGGAGGAGTGCTTGGAAAACAGTGCCTTCCTAGACACCAGACCACGCATGAGGACACCAATGGGCATTTCTGGAAATGACAGATAATTTTGGGGGAGAAGAGAAGCCATTAGCTCTTGTGGGATTTTGAAAGGGCTATGTAATATGCATCAAGCTAGAAGGTTTCCATTTGTGAAAGGAATCAAATACATTTACATGCAGAGGATTTTCTCTCCCTCTAGTGGTAGGGTAGGAGGCTTTGAAGTGATACGCTATCACTGCATAATACTGCTTCATAAAGAAAGATGTGCATTTTGTCCATAAAATGAGGATTTTCATTAGGTATGCTGCTCTTTCTCTCATGGTAGTTTTCAAAACATCCCAACACTTCATGGGAGTGAAATGCCTCCTGACTATGCTGATTACCAGTGGTAAGGTAGCAAAGATCTCCCTCCCCTTTTGGCTAAAGGCTGCCTGTGCTCACTTCCGAGACATGGGATTCCCTTTTCCTCTGCAGTCCTATCAAAGATGGAACCATGCTGTGATCAGAGGCAACTTTCCTGACCCCTAGTCTGGGCCAGAAAAACCTGAGGAGCTAAATGAGAAAGAGAAAGCAAACTTACCTAAGTAAAGATGGGAAATATGGAAACTCAGAGGAGAGATACTAATACCGAATCTCAAGAGTGATCTGAACCTGATATAAAGGTCAATAATTAGCAATGAATTTTGGAACAAATCTCTACCTCTACTTTGCAGGCTCTGTCATTTCTCTCGTTTTCATTTGTGGTCATGTGAAAATACTTCTGGTGTAGCAACTTGGATCAATGACAGTGGATGAAAAACAGAAAAGATGGAAAAAGTAAATAATGACATTTTAAGGAGAATAAGGAAAATTGCCTCCATCGAGGGATTAAACTGCATAAAATATCGTAATTGCACAAGAGTATTGCTGGAAATAGATCATAGGTTACAGCTGTCTAATCAATAGGTTATTGATTGATCAATAATTGAAAATCTACCAATGAGAAGTATACAGAGTCTGTAGCTTTTTCCGTGCTCCATGCTCAAAGTTAGGCATCAATGATGCCTCCTTGACTTCTCCTCTTGTGTGTATCCAAGGCAACCAAATTCATGCTTTCCTGAAACCTATTTCTTTTCTAGTTTCTTTATCTCAGTGAATAACTCCACCAGTCATCAATTTGCACAAGCCAGAAATTCAGGAGTTACTTGACCCCACCAAGTCTATCACCATCATATTCAATCCATCACCAAGTCCTTCAGTCTTACCTCCTAAATCTATCTCACATAGGTCAATTTCTCTTTGCCTCCACCACCACACTATTTCCTCACCTCCCTCCTAAGCAACTACTACTCTAAGGGTGTCCACTCTGTTCTTTGTCAAACATATTCTCCACACTGCACTACTTCATCCAACAAATATTTTTAAGGGGCCTACTTTGTACCATGATAATACTTGGTTGAATAAGACAAATTCCCCATTCTCAAGGAGCTTGTGGAGACAGAAGATAAACATCAGTCATAAGCATAATATGGAGAAGCAAAATAGGGCGCTAAAATAGAGAACGGCTGAATGACTATTCTAAATTGCGTGCTCAAATACATCAATGGGAGTTTCAGAAGGGTTTGAGTTTCAAAGCAGGAAAATAAAAGAAGTCTGCCGGGATGATGGCATCTGCTATCAAGGCTTTTGCATGTAAGGAAAAGTGTTTCAAACACTGAGCAAGTACAAAAAGGAAAATAAGTTAAAATGTACCTGAAGGTACAATCTAGGTCTGTTTGTCTCTAAGCACCTCTGCTTAAATACAGCACTTAACCACCTACATGAAAGTGTCCTATTTTTGTAACTTTTCTGTATGTTTCTCCCAACAATGCTTACATTCCACGAGAATAGTGGCCATAAATGTCTGGCTCACACGTCAGTGCCTAAGAACTATGCCTGGCATATAGTAGGCATGCAAATAAGTATTTGTTGCATTAATGCACAAATTAGTGTGTGAACTGGCAGAGTAAACAAAATAACTGAGTGGACTTGGAGGTTCGGAAGTTTTCCCAGAGATGTCAAGTTCATTTACTTCAGGGGGAAAGGTTAACCGAGATGTAAAATCCCGGCCAGGTTTCTCGGCTTTGGATCTCCGCACCACCTGCTCTCGCTCAAACTCATCCACACGCGCCCCGCCACAAACCTCCCCAACTCCCCGCTAGGAGGAGTCACACCTCCCGACCCAGAAGCCCTCCCACCCTCTCCTCTATTTCTCCTTCCCTCCGCTCCCCGCCAGCGTTCCGGCAGCCTTAGAGTCGCAATGCTCACCGGGAATAGTAGTCTTCCGGTGTGAGCCTAATCAGTTTTATTGGTTTGTGTTTTTTTTTTAGAACTACGCTTCCCAGAGAGCCTTGCGGAAGAAGGAGACTGTATCACCTGACCAGGACTCTGGCGGGGCAATGGCGGCGCCCATGCTGCGCTGGTCCTGTCTTGGAAAGCGTTGGGTTTTAGCCTGCATTGACGGCGGTTCTCGCCACGGAAGAGGGGCTGCGATTGGGTGCACGTCCAGGAGGAAAAGGGGACAGAGCTCCGTGGCTCAGCAGCCCCTCATCACCGTCCAGAAGTCAAGGAAAGGGTATACTATTTCATACCATTAATACCCATTTAAGCGTGAGGTGGAACTGCGGGACTGGGGAGGTGATGGCCACTACAGCCCAGCTTCAGTCTAGACGTTTCGATGAGCCGGGGCGGGGGCGGTGGGGGAGGATGGTGAGGTTGGGCTTTCAGCGCTGGAACCTAAATGAAAGCACAAAACTAGCTGTCAGCCCCACCTCCACACATAAAACACTCTTCAAATAGGTAGGCATATATGGGGAATTCTCGAGTGTAAAATCGCAGGTCTTTTCTTGAATGTAAAACTACACACACAGAAAAGTGGATTCAGTCACCTTACTAATAGCACTAGGGGTCGGTGGCACCAGAAAGCAGGATCTTATGTAGCTGACATTTATTTAGCGCTACTATGGGACAGCAGTGTTCTTAAAGTAGAAAGGGAGCCTTTATCTACGAGCTCAGGATGGTGGTGGCTTAATGTCATTACTCCGAAAACACCACTGTCTGTGGAGGCGTTTCATGTTGAACGTGTTTCTAGACCTAGGAGGATGCAGTCAATACAAGAGATCTTCCCTCAGTTTGGCTTATTTTGTTAGATATCCTCTAAACAGCTGTTTATACTTTATAAGACTTACATAGTTTCTTTTTAAATACAGAAACAGAAGGCACGTGTTTAGTAATCACTAGCCTTTGAGATAGTTAACTTGGCATTATTTTTGCTTTTCTGTTGGAGCAACAGAGGGAAAATGTCCAGAAGCATTCAGCTTTTATTCCTTTCATAAATTAGATCGTCTGACTGTAAAGTATTTTTTTCTCTCATGTAATGAAACTGCAAAAATAGTTTGGAGTGATGTTTTAGTGAATGCAGAATTTCTGATGAGTTCTTCATTTATTTCCTCTCAATCGCCGGCGGTGCTTCCAAACTTTAAAAAGAAGGAATTAATCTTCTCACAGTACTATAGATATAGAACTTCATGTGTTGAAATATTGGGGACAAAACCCAGTACATGTAAACAAAAATCTAGATTATACAGAAAATTGCTTGGGAGAAGAGCAGGATAGGAACAAGGTATAGAGGGAGTGTGTGTAAACAGGCATGGTCCAGGATATATGGTTTCAGAAGGAATAAGCACACTTATACGAACCTAGAGAGACCTGTGTGTTCATACAGACCCAGCAGAGTAGGAGAGGTTATTATAGGATTTAACAACTTCTTAGATTTGATAGCAATCAAGCATAAACAGAGGAACCTGAAACTATAGGGAATTGAAAGTGATTTGGGGGACCAAAAAAAAAAAAAAGCCACATCTGATGGTTTAATGTTTTCATTTGCCCAAAATCTCAGGAAGAGTATGATTAGTGATGATCTGTTATATCTGTGTCACTCTGATCATTTTTTTGCAAGCCATTGTTATGAGTTCAAAACATGACAGAGAATTTCCCTTCCTTTTTAAATAAGATATACAGCTATTCACCATTATTTCTCTACTAATAGAAGCATGATGTTTATGTTAATTCTAAAAATGTTTGCAAGGTAAGCTTTCATTTACTGAGTTATTAACTGATAAAGGACAGTTGATCTAGAAAATACTGCTTTTCACTGGAGTCAACCAAGCAGACGTCATCTGATAGCCATTTCTAAATTGTTTCAAGATGCCATATTTTTCCTTCATCATCTTCTTTGTACAGTGAACTCTTCCTATGTACCGTGTTGTAAATGAATTTCATTTTGCTGGTCTTGTAGATGTTCATCATGAATTGCTTTTGATTCAGTCATTGATACAATATGACATATTTTTAAATGTAAGAATCTGAAATCTATTTTAAGTTAAAAACACAAATAGCAAATTACCATGTGTGGTTTAGGGTCGTAGAAATTCATGCATAGTGATGGATCTAACTACTTCTTAATGATTCTTTCTTTCTCTTTAGTGAACACGAGTGGGCAGCTGTGGTAGGTTTGGAAATTCATGCCCAGATCTCTTCCAACTCTAAACTCTTCTCTGGATCTCAAGTCCACTTTGCAGCACCTCCAAATTCTTTGGTATCTTTTTTTGATGCATCTCTGCCTGGAACTCTGCCGGTAAGGTTTTTATTTAATCATATTTTCATTAAAAAATGTTTCTCTTTTATTGGACATAGATGTTGGTTTCCTTGTTTTCACAGCTTGGCACAACTCTTAGAAAAGTACTTGTTTAGGGAATTTTTGGTGAAGTAGGATGAACTAAATGTTTTCTAAAGACCCATCTCTGTAATTCTGTTTCTAAGTCTAAACGTCATCTGTTTGTTCATACATGTATTCACTCATTTCACACACATTTTAAAATGTCTACAAAATACCAGACACTGGGCCATGAACTACAACATGAAGATGAGTGACAATCTTTGCCTTTGAGGGGTTTAAAAACTAGGTAGGGAGGAGTGTCTTATAAAAGTGTCTACTTATAAACAAGTAGGGTACTGTGTGATTACGCCTGTGAAGGTGATATATAAGCATGGTTTTGGAATCCAGAGGAGGGACACCTACTTCTGTAAGAGAAGGATTATTGTGAGAAATTGAGGTATGAGTATGATTGGAAAGCTTGTTGGAAGAGGTGGTGTCTGAGTTATCTGAGAAGTCAGAGAGGAGCTGGGCAGATAAATGAAGGAGGAGGAGGAGGAGTCTAGCCACAGGAAACAGCATATGACACATGATATTACAGTGTCAGGTCAATAATGATTGTGATTATTGAAAACTAAGTGGTCAATATGGAGAGAAAAAGTCAACCACAATATGCATTGAGTTAACTAATTCATTTATCTGCTCATTTTCGCTTAAACCCAAGGAATGATTGGGTCTGTTGTACTCATCAGCAAGATTGCTATCATATAATTTCATATGGTTGGCTGGATTTTGAAGAAAAGGTTGGAAGGAACAATGTGAATATTTGAGGTGATAAATAAATCATAGTCTGTCCGGGACATATAACATCGACTGGGTGTGGGATTTCCTGCCATCCTTGGAGGGAATGTGTATAGATGGTGGTGATCAGGAGGGAAGAGGAGGGACTGTCACAGGTGACTTCCATACTCTTCTGACTCTTAAATACAAGTGAAAGCTGGTTGATTTGACCATTGGCAGGCTTGCAGAGGCACATTTATCTTTCTCAGAGTCACTGCCCAGAGTAGAAGGCAGTGCCTCCAATGTGTCTGCCATACCCAGAGCTTTGGTTATATTGGGGCAGTGTCTCTGTCTTGGAACTTTTTCCTTACTTGTGCTTTTTGTTGTGGAGGACTCCCATCCCTGCAAACCCCATCAGGGTCACCTTTGATTTACTCTTGAGTCTTTCTGGGGGAAAGACAGATAAAGGGGTGTCTGCCCCTCCCTCCCTCTGGCTTAGACTATCTGTCTGTGGAGAAATCATTTTTGTTTGGGGAGAGACAATTTTTCAATTACAAATGTGGGAGTTCTTTTTTGGGCAGAGATGCGAATATAGTAGAAATAGAGTAATATCTATTCAGACAGGTGAAATGGAAAACAATTCATCACAGTACCTCCTTTTTTCGTTCTGAGCTCAAAACATTTTTTTCCCCCACATGGTAGTTCATTATCAAGAGACTACATGTAACCTCTGAATTCTTTCTAGGTTTTTCCAGCTGAGAATATAGTATCCAGCAAAGTATTTATTATAGTTCACATTTGGAAATAGATCTATTTGCAGATAGGCATGTTTTCCATAAATAGGCTCTTCGATTGGGGCTAAGTGTGGTCAAATATTAGAGACAGTTCAAAACAACTAAAATGTCAACATACTTTGAAAGACTTCTTGCTGTACACCAAAGAAGAATGTGCTTGCCCAGTGATAAGCGTAGTAGTAAAACAGTGAAGGTGTGTGGGGACATTTGAGCATTGAGAGCTTGGCTTATATTAATTAAATGACAGTCAAAGTCTAGAAATCAGTTTTGCATGAGCTGGGATTTGTTTTTTCTCTTCAGAGCCTACCACACTCATGATTCAAGGAGCCTAAGGGCTTATTCTCTTGACAGAGCTAATCTACCTCTTCTAAAATGTTTCTGTCTTTAAAAGACCTATTTTGGGGTGCCTGGGTGGCTCAGTCGGTTAATCGTCTGCTTTTGGCTCAGATCACGATCCCAGAGTCGTAGGATCAAGTCCCACATCGGGCTCCTTGCTCAGCAGGGAGTCTGCTTCTCCCTCTGCCTGCCACTCCCTCTGCTTGTGTTCCCTCTCTCGCTGTCTCTCTCACAAATAAAATCTTTAGAAAAGAAAAAAAAAAGACCTATTTTAGTATGTGAGCAAAATTATACCAAAACTACCAGAATAAAACATTGCCATTCCCATAGCGCTTCCAAACCCTGCGATTTACCTATGTAAATGTATTGAAACATTTAGACAGTTGCCCTTTTCTGAGCCCTTAGATGGTGTATTGGTGCTATGATATTCTAACTCAGCATTTGGTTGTTTTTGTACAAAAAAAAAAAATGGTGACCATTTGTCAAATACACTGATAAGAAGATAGAAAAAGGCAGCCCAAAGAATTTAGGTTATAATGTAAAGTCTTTTTTGGGGGATCATATTCATTTGCTCTGCTGGCCCATTATAATGGGTGTCTTCTGTAGGCATTTGATTCTCCCTCTCTCCGTTGTGTCTTTATTCACTCAGCTGACACTTATTGGGTGCCTACCCTGTACTAGCCATTGTACAAGCTCTGACGTGACACACCTTTGAACAAGGTAAAAAATAGACATGGGTCTTGTCCTCATGATGCATGGACAAGTAAGTAGGCACTTGCAGTAACTTTTAAGGAATATACTGGTAGTGAGAATACAGAATATGTGCTTGAGAAGCACATAGGAGGGCCAGCCAACACAGATAGACAGAATTTGCAAAATTGGCCAAATAAAAGTGAATAGGATGTACACAGACCAGAGGAGAAATAGGACATGGCTTGCTTTATGAACTGAAGGAAGTTCCATGCATGGGAGCCTAGAACTTGAATGTGGCATGGCAAGAGGTGAGCCATTTGCAGGGAGGTAGGAAGAGGTGAGGAGAGTACAGGGTCAGAAAGTCCAAAGAAGAGAGTGTTGTGAGAAGGAGGGAATATAGTGGTTTCGAATGTTACTGAGAGGTCAGGTAAGGTGAGGACCAGGAAGTGGCCGTTGGATTTATCAACAGGAGTATGCTTTGAAAGAACAGCTTCAGTGGAATGACGGGAGTAGAAAGTAGGTGGTAGTAGATTGAGAAATACAAGGAAGTTGCAGAAGAGGTGAGAGAGTGTAGGCAACTGTTTTAAGAAGGTTGGCTATGAAGGAAGAGAGAATGCAGGAGGTGAAAGGAGACATGGCATCAAGGGGAACATTTTTATTAGCCCTGTTTTCCTTAATATTGGAGAGATTTAAGAAGGCTTAAATACTTATGACTTAGAGTCAACAGTAAGATATTATACACTAAAAAAATGTGTAAAGAAGTTAGATCATGGTAAGTGTTCTTACTGCAATAAAATAAAGTTTTTAAAAATACTGATGAGGAACCAGTGAAGAAGGGGAGTTAAAGACAGTTAAAGAGGCTTGAATGTGGGCGCCTGGGTGGCTCAGTTGGTTAAGCGACTGCCTTCGGCTCAGGTCATGATCCCGGAGTCCCGGGATTGAGTCCCACATCAGGCTCCCGGCTCAGTGGGGAGCCTGCTTCTCCCTCTGACCTTCTCCCCTCTCATACTGTTTCTCTCTGTCTCTCTCTCTCAAATAAATAAATAAAATTTAAAAAAAAAGAGGCTTGAACGTGCGCATTTTAATCTGTCTCTTACCACCCCAAAGAAACCCCACTGAAATTATAGTAAAAGAATCTAATAGTTATAAAACCTGCATGAGAATGGGAAAGCAGAGTGCGTGGAGATGTAGATAGAGGAGGACTGACTTAGCAGAGCGGAGTTAATTATAAAGGGACAAAAAGCCTCCAGAAAGAGCCACTAGTGAGAGATGAGATGTCATGCCCTGCATAGCCTCAGAAAGGGTCCGGATATGGGATCCTTAGGTTTTGCAAAGGCCAGGGGGAGGTGGAAACAAGGGGTTAATTCAGAGTCTGGATGAGGAGCAGTTAGACTTAAGGTCCTCTCTTTGACCCTCTGCAGCTGCCCCACTCTAATAGGAATCTGTAGTTTTGGGAGAAATTCAACTGGTGACACACTCCCCTTGGGAACCCCAGGCAGAGAAAAGGCACTGGTTTCAAACAGTGTCTGCATGTAGACTCTAGGGCCTGACCAGTGCTTTTCTCCACCCTGTTTGAGGAGCTCAAGTGACCTATTATAGCCATTTCTCCTCTTCCTCTCCTCTGCCAAGCAGGAATCTGCAGGAATTGTTTGGAGATTACATGTCCCTGGAGGGAAGAACTTCAGTTACTGACACTTGGGGGTGGTCGCTATTAAAAAAAAACAAAAAACAAAAAAAATGCCTGACTACCTGATTGTCCTAGAATGCAGGCCATCAGTCAACAAGCCCTGGATACCTACATAGAACTTTTAATAAGCATTTTAGTACCTTACTTGAAAATATAAACCAATGGCCAAAAATCACTAGACATTTGAGGAAGTGCTCCAACATAATGGACAGGGCCCAAAATAAAAAGACTAAAAAGAAATAAGAAGTAACAGATAATGCAGAGTAAAAGAATACTTTAAAAAATAAAAGTTTTTATAAATATCCTCAGATAAGAGAAGGTAGCTGCATCTTTGAGATAAGAACATGATACTACTTTTTAAAAATAAAGAATCACCACATCAAAAACTAATGATGTATGCTGACTAACATAACATAATAAAATTTAAAAAAAATTAAAATAAAGAATCAGAACAAAAAGCTCTCAGAAATTAAAATTATGATAGCAAAAAAAAAAAAAGAATCCAGGAGAGTTAGAAGATAAAGTCAAAATCTTCCAGAAAGTGTAATACACGTACAGCGAATTGGACAGTAGGGGATAAAATAAGAAAATTAGAGACTTGGTCTAGGATGTACAACATCTGATTCATGGGAGTTCCAGAAGACAGAAGAGAGGAAGCTATCAAACAACACAGATTAATTTCCCAGAACTGA